CCGCCGGATGCTTCTTTGAGGGTGTAGACTCAACCTCACTGGAAGACTTCTTCGGGTTGGGTGACTAGAGGTGCCGAGGAAACGTCCATCCTCGGAGGTCGGTGGACCGAACTCGAGCCCGAAGTTGATCAACTGGTTCCCGGCTCCAAGCACGGATCTTGGCCGGAAGCGATCAATAGTTAACACCGTCCCAGAGGATGTCCGGGTTCTTTCCACCCCTGTCAGTATAGATAGCTACCTCCGGTTCCTGGTAACCAAAGAAGACCAGGCAAAAATGAACGAGGTGGATGTGACATGCTTGTTAAACGAAGTGCAACAGGATCGGGAAAGTGTTATCACACTCTTTTATCTTTGAACTCAGTTTTTGATGACTCTAATGCCTTTTCCTTTTTACATTCTACAGGCCTTGGTGCTCCACCATGAAACCTATCTCCGGTACCGGGATAAGCTTAGCTAACTTGAGGCCCAAGTCAAAGAGCTTGCTAAGAAGAGGGATATGTATAAGCTTCTCAGCGAGCAACGTGAAGGAGAAGTCAAGACTCTTCGGGCTGAGTTGGACGCGGCTCAGAAAGAACATGCCACCTTGGTGGAACAGGTAAAGATCTTTGAAGTTAGTGAAAACAAGTTATGCATGGCGACTAACGGTCAAAACCTGCAGGTCCAGCAGAAGCTTGATCGGATCGACCAGCTTCGAGCCGAGATGGACGAGGTCAAGGCCATGGCCGAAGTGTGGAAGGGAAAAATAGATCGATTGGCTTCGAAAAAGGAGACTGCCTGGGAGCAGCTGGACTCGGCGAAGTCCCAACTTCGAGCGGCGAGGGAAAAAGCTGAGGCCCAGTCTCAAAATATCGAAGACCTCCAGTTTCAACTGGGCTCGGCCGCTGCCGAACGGGATACCCTAGCCAAGGAGCTTAAAGCAGCCAAGTTAGTGGCAGAAATAACCAGGGCCGATGCTGAAGAGATGGTGGCCCAGTACAAAGCTGATGTTGAGGCAGCCCAAGACCGCCTAAATGTTATTACCAATTACTTGAAGTGGCAGTCCCGAAAGGAGGATCTCAAGGAAGTTTATGCCCGGGGTTTCGACTTAATGTTCGAGATCGAAAACGTTAAGAGCCTCGAGGCAGAGGCCAAAAAGTTTTCATATCCTGAGGACGAGGAAGGTTTCGAGGGCTCCGGTGGATCCGAGGGCGGAGAAGACTCCGATGGTCCCGGTGATGAGGCGGGCTCCGGAAAAGATCAGGCTTAGGTGCCTTGTAGATTTTTCTTTATTTTTGTATTTTTGTATGTTTTGTTGAGGCCATTTGGCCTTTTTAAAGATCTTTATATATATACAAGGTTTTTCATTTTTCCCTTTGGTAATTTTCAAGTTTGTTTCTTTCGGTTTTTTCTTTACGATTGCAAAGATTTCAAATGCCTTAGCATGTAGTAATAAGGTCTTGTTCGGAGATTCGAACAAGGCTTGTTCTCATTGTGATTTTGTTTATAACTTGTGGGGGCGTGGTATGACCGGAAGCCTTCCCCAAAGTGCTTAATTAGAATTTTTTAGATTATAATTTTGATGAGGGTAGCCTTTGGACTGGTTTGGAAATTTTGAAGGCCTTATGTTTTGGTTACGGGTTTCGGACGTCTCCGAGGCATTTTTAAGATGGTCGTAGCCTTTTAAGTTCATGTATTGCCCAATAGGCTTATTATCCCAGGCTTCGATGCCCGAGCCATTTGGGCTTTCCTAGGACGACAGTCCCCGAATGGGGGTGGCTGTAGCCTTTAAAGTTCGGGCACTGCCTAATAGATTTTTGTGCCCCCAGGCTTCGGCAGCCCGAGCCATCCAAATTTGCTTTGGATGACAGTCCCCGAATGGGGGCGGCTGTAGCCTTTAAAGTTCGGGCACTGCCTAATAGGTTTTTGTGCCCCTAGGCTTTGACAGCCCAAGCCATCTGAGTTTGCCTTGGACGACAGTCCCCGAGTGGGGGTAGAGGTGGCCCTTGTAGCCGATGTCCTTAAGGAACAAAATGTAGTAGTTTTTAAGAGACAAAATATGTATCTGCAAGGTAGAAACTTTCTTTCATTTCTGTGCGCAACATACAAGATGGCAAATATGTACAAGCTTCATGTTATGGCTTAAGTGGTCTATGTGAGCACGATTCATTCGACCGTTTAGACCTTACAATAAATCCTATCCACCAAGCCCAGACTGTTCGAGCACAACATTTCCTTGCTAAAATCATTATCAAGGGTGATGGCCCTCGGTATTTGGGGCCGATCGTAGAGAGGGCTCGGATACTGTTGATGTGACCCTCGACTCCAGTTCATAGCCGGTCTTCAATTCTAAGTTAGCACGATCTACTGTTGCCTCATTAAAAACCTTGCCTAAAAACCTATTTAGGACAAAACCAATTTAAGGGGATAAAGGTGTAATGCGTGCTTTCAGGCCTAATAACTGTATCATTCTTTGGTCGTTGCCTGCTAATGTTAGTTTAATTCGTAATATAGGTAAAGAAAAGAGTGAATGGGGTCATACCTTAGCAGTAGTATCGTTTTAAATGGGTCACGTTCCAACTGTTCGGTAGTCGCTCACCATTCCTTGCTCCGAGTTTGTATGATCCTTTGCCGATGATCTCGACAATTCGATATGGACCTTCCCAATTCTGTCCTAGCTTGCCTTCATTCAGGTTCCGAGTGTTTAGTATCACCTTTCTTAACACAAAGTCCCCAATATTGAAGTGTCAGAGGTTGGATCTCCGGTTGTAATACCTTTCATCCCATTATTTTTGGGCGGCCAGCCAGACGAGGGCGGCCTCGCGCCTCTCGTCTAGTAGTTTCAGGCTTGTGTTCATGGCCTCGTCGTTTGACTCTTTGGCTGGTTATCGGAATCAGAGACTCGATTCCTCTACTTCGACCAGTATTAGGGCTTTGGCACCATAGACCAACGAGAATGGGGTGGCCCCGGTACTAGACTTTGAGGTCGTTCGATATGCCCACAGGACTTCGGGCAAAATTTCCTTCCATTTTCCTTTGTCGTCGGTCAACCTCTTCTTAACATTTTGGAGTATGATTTTGTTCGTTGACTCTGCTTGCCCGTTCCCACTAGGGTGATAGGGTGTTGATATGATCCTTTTGATCTTATGGTCCTCGAAAATTTTACTCACCTTACTACCGATGAACTGCTTTCCATTATCGCACACGATCTCGGCCGGCATTCCAAACCAGCATATTATGTGGTTCCAAATGAAGTCAATAACTTCTTTTTCCCTGACTTTCTCAAATGCCTCAGCTTCCACCCATTTAGAAAAATAGTCAGTCATAAATAATATGCATTGAGCCTTACCGAGTATCCAAGGCAGGGGGCCAACGATGTCCATTACCCTTTTAATGAAAGGCCAGGATAACAAGACCGAATGTAGAAGCTCCCCGGGCTGATGAATCATCGGTGCATGTCTCTGACATCTGTTGCATTTTTGCACGAACTCCTTTACATCTTTTTCCATGTCGATCTAGTAATATCCGACTCTAATTATCTTATGAACCAACGATTTGACACCCAAATGATTCCCGCAGGTGCCTTCGTGAACTTCCCTCAAAACATACTTGGTATCTCCCAGTCCCAAACATATGGCGAGTGGGCCATCGAACGTCCTCCTAAATAGGGTATTGTTTTCGGACAAGCTGAAGCTGGCCGCCTTCGTGCGCAAAGCTCTCGATCCTTTAGGATCCGAGGGTAGTTTTCAAACCTTCAAGTAATCTATATACTTGTTTCTCCATTCCCAAGTTAATCTTGTCGAGTTTATCTCAGCAAGGCCTTCTTCCACTACCGATTTCATGAGTTGTACGACCATTCCCGAGTTGAATTCATCATCATCAACCGATGACCCTAAGTTGGCAAGAGCATCGGCTTTGCTGTTTTGATCTCGAGGTACATATTGCAAAGTCCATTCCTTGAACCGATGTAATGTCACCTGTAGTTTATCCAGGTACCTTCGTATTTGCTCCTCTTTGACTTCGAGCGTTCTATGGACCTGGTTCACCACAAGGAGGGAATCGCACTTAGCTTCAATCACCTAGGCCCCCAGGCTTTTAGCTAGTTCGAGACCTGTAATCATGGCCTCATACTCGGCCTCGTTGTTAGTCAATTTTACAGTTCTAATAGATTGCCTAACTATATTACCCGTCGGTGGCTTCAACACGCTGCCAAGTACGGACCTCTTTTCATTCGGGGCGCCATCTGTAAAGAGGGTCCAGATTTCGGAGGAGGTCCCGGAGTTCAACAATAATTCCTTCTCGACCTCAGGTATTAGGGCTGGTCTGAAGTCGGCCACGAAATCTTCCAAAATTTGAGATTTGATAGCAGTTCGAGGTCGATATTCGATATCGTACCCCCTGATTTCCAAGGCCCATTTGGCCAACCGTACTGAGAGTTCTGGCTTATGCATTATGTTCCTCAACGGGTAACTAGTCACGACACATATGATATGGCATTGAAAATACGGTTTTAACTTCCTAGAGGCTCTTAGCAAAGCGAGCACCAATTTTTCCAGGTGAGGATAGCTAGTTTCGGCGTCGCCTAGAGTCCTGCTAACATAGTAAATAGGAAATTGCATACCTTCTTCTTCCCAGACTAGGACTTAAATTACAGTTATCTCGGATACCGTTAAGTATAGGTACAATTGTTCATCTGCCTTCGGAGTATGAAGCAAAGGCAGGCTTGAAAGGTACCGCTTGAGTTCTTCCAAGACTTGCTGACACTCCTGTGTCCATGAGAAATTATTCTTCTTCTTCAATAACGAGAAGAACCGATGGATCTTATTGGAGGACCATGAGATGAATCGACCCAATGCGGCTATGCACCCGGTTAGACTTTGAACGGTGTTGACATTGTCCACCATGGTAATGTCCTCTATGGCCCTGATTTTATCGGGATTGATCTTGATTCCGCAATTAGACACCATGAATCTGAGAAATTTCCCGGACCCGACTCCGAATGTGCATTTCTCTGGGTTCAGCTTCATATTGTATTTCTTCAATATGTTGAAGGTTTCCTGCAAATGTTTCAAATGGTCCTTTGCTCGCAGGGACTTAACTAACATATCGTCAAAGTAAACCTCCATTGATTTTCCTATTTATTCTTCTAACATTCGATTTACTATTTGGTGGTATGTGGCATCGGCATTTTTTAGTCCGAATAGCATTATGTTATAGCAATAGGTGCCCTACTTAGTGATGAAGGACATTTTTCCTGGTCTCCCGGGTCCATCCGAATTTGGTTGTACCCGGAATAGGCATCGAGAAAGTTGAGGATCTCATAGCTGGCCAGCGCATCGATCATGCGATCGATGTTGGGCAGAAGGAAGGAATACTTGGGACATGCCTTATTCATGTCTTTGTAGTCTAGACACATTCTTAATTTATTCCTTTTTTAGGGACTACCACTACATTTGCTAACCAATCCGGGTATTTAACCTCCTGGATGGACCCTATTTTAAGGAGTTTAGATACCCCATCTTTGATGAATGCATGCTTAACTTTGGACCGAGTCCTCCTTTTCTGTTTGACCGGGTGGAACTTCGGATCCAGGCTCAGCTTATGGGAGTTATCTCTGGCAGGATCCCTGTCATGTCGAGGTGGGACCAAGAGAAACAATCTATGTTAGCCATAAGGAATTTAATGAGTTTTTTCTTGAACTCGGGATTTAACCCCATTCCCAGGTATACCTTACGATCGGGCAGGTGTTCGATCAATATGACTTGCTCCAGTTTTTTGACCGTTGATTTGGTGGCGTCGGAATAGTCGGGGATAATGAAGGATCTGGGAACTCTGTAGTCGTCGTCCTCGTCTGTCCCCTGCTTCTCCGGTTTATTCGGAGCCGGTGTCGGTAATTGCTATTTGGTCCCTCCCTTGGCGACCGAACTCGGATACTTTGGTGTAGAAAGTGCAGATATCAGGACCATCTCGTCGACCGCGAACATCTCCTTTGCGGCCGATTGTTCTCCGTAAATTATTTTAATCCCTCCAGGAGTTGGGAATTTCAACACCTGGTGCAGTGTCGATGGCATTGTCCTCATATTGTGAATCCTCGGCCTCCCGAAAAAAGCATTATATCTCATATCTCCTTCGATTACGTAGAACTTTGCTTCCTGAATGGTTCTGGCAGTGTTCACCGGTAGTGTTATCTCCCATTTAGTGGTCTCACATGCCATATTGAATCCGTTTAGAACTCGGACTACAGGCACAATTTGGTCTTGCAGACCCAGC